ATAAACAAATATAAATTTTTGACCAATTAATAAACAAATATAATTAATTCTACTCAAAAAGTTTTTGTCAGTGTATTTCCTCTGCTCGCACATTCTGTGTGGCGCGTGGATGCCCTGTTTCTATCTCAGTACATGGATTTTTATTCTTTCGAATAGATATGCACATATATGCAACACATTTCACTGCTGCCACTGAATTGAATTGTAAACAAATATGAAATGAATGCTGAAACATTAAGAAATATATTATAACATATAACATTCTTATTTGTATCATTAACCCAATAGCGAATATGCCCATATTGTTAGGGTACCTAGCGCGAAAAGTAGCAAAACCCCAAATATTCTTGCTGGCCCAAAATGAAATGATCGCACACATGCACCCGTGTACGTGAATGCATGAACACGCATACATGTAAAGGCCTGACGCTACCCTGCAGTACCATTCATCAACAATTCATCAACGTTTCATCAATAGCCGAAGGGGTGTTGTTGATGATTCATCGATGAATGGCCATGCAAATTACTGATGAATTTAACATGGGCATGTCATAGGCATTCATCAACAACAATTCATCAACAATTAATCATCATTTCATCGATGAATTGTTGATGAATTACTGATGAAAGACTGATGAAATGTCGATGAATTGTTGATGATTCATCGATGAATTGTTGATGAATTGTTGATGAATCATCAACAATTCATCAACATTTCATCAGCCTTTAATCAACAATTCATCATCAATTCATCGATGAATTGTTGATGATTTTTTTTTTCATATATAAAAATAAAACTCTTAAATTTTTATTAATATGATTTATTCTTAATAATTCTATACCAAAACTAAAACACAAATATTAAAAATTAAGATTAAACATCCATATATTAAAAGGCCTTAAGGTCTTTTTGATCCTTGGTGTTCCGCTTTCTATTCATGAAGACCAAATTTATTGCGCAGTATCTTCTCTGGAGGCTCAGTTTTAGTCACTTGGGAAATTGCATCTACAGAAAAAATTATAATTAATCCAGGGAAAATATAATTTCATTAAATAAAATTACCCAATATATTGGCCATTACTGCAGTCTGAAAAGAAAATACATACATACATATATAAATATAATATATTATATACATATAATAAATAAAATAATATACATATGTACATTTATAGGCTTCTATTTCATTAAGAACAATCTTTTTACTCACCTTTTTTTATATTCCAATATGGCCCGGAACGTAATTATTGAATTTTTGATTTCTTAACATTTTTAACACACGACACTTCTGCAGTGGAGAACACTTCAACTTGTAATGCAAAGGGAATAAGAAGAAGCAAGACGAAACCGAAAACCGCTGCTCCGAAAATATGGAGTCGAACCTTCGAGAATCTATTTTAATTGCGTCTTCTACTTTGTTTCGGACTTCAAAAAACGAAGCCCATGCAAATTGTTTTTTGTTTTTTTGCATGCACCGACAAATCGGACTCGAAGGGAGTTCGGGTCTCCGAAGGGAGTTCGGGTTCAAGTAGCAGTCGGCAGAGCGTCGATTCTGTCGACGTCGCAGTCGGCGCGTTGATGAATTGTTGATGAAAAGGCCTATTGATGAATTGTGGTACTGCAGGGTAACAGCTGACAGCTAACATGGGACGGGTCGCTAACAGCTAAAATCTAACAGACGGTCTGTCGCTAACAGCAAACAGTTAACATGGGACCGCATGCTAAGAAATTTTTGTGTCCATTTTCGTTGTATGAAATGACCAGTCTATCAGGCCTGCTCCGGTAATCGAAAACGGCAAGATTTTTTCGTTTTCGTTTTTTAAAACGAGAAATTGGTGCTCCGGTAATCGAAATCGAAAGATTTTTTCGATTTGAAAAACGGGCACCTTTTTCTGGCCGGAATGAAAAGTAAATGGCTTTTTTCAAATGAAATCAGATCTTATTTACAAAAGGAAAAAAATAGTTTACTCAGTGGTCTATTGATGTTTATTCCACACCACCAAAAGATCATTCTGGCAGGTAGTTATTTTATAAAAAATTTATTTCTGACCCCTCCTCAGATTTGACCACAAAATTTTTGCCGTGTTCAACCAGTTTTCTCGGTTTGGCGATAGGTCGATAAGTTCACCGCAGAAAGTTATCGCCAAGGTTGCCATATTGTTGGTGGAACGAAACATCCAGTTAAAAATAGTAATAAAATATAAATGAATACATTAATAACTTTAAAGGACCGCCAAAATGGTTGTTTATAAATAATGCTATTTAATGTGATTACTTAAATGGTCCAAATTAACCAAATAATTATTTGAGACCACCGGAATTAAAACTGTGAAAAGTGTGGCAGCATCTTAGGTGCCTGGATTTGCTTAATTCTACCATTTTTTGCCTTTTTCTGGCTTAGAAAAAGGGCAATTGTAAATATAATAGGCAGTACTTTACGTTGTTTGCTTATTACCAACAATACAAGTTAGCTGCTTGAGCAGTGAGAAACGATGAGAAAACGAAACATCCGATAGCAGAAATTTGCCGAAAACCGGAGCAGCTAAAAACGAAAACGGTTCGTTTTCGCCCAAAACGAAATCGAAAAAATTTTACGATTACCGGAGCAGGCCTGTATATGTTGTATGGTTAGTGGTTATATACATACATATTTTTGACCTGTGCGCACCGGCTATAAAAATAGTTAAATACAATCGTGGACATAAGTATTTTGACACAGCTTGTAGCTATATTCCAGCGCGTGTATCTTAGTACTCGTAAAAGTTACGGGATCCATTTAACTTTCCAGTAAGAGATTCTATTTAAAACTTTAAGAGAGCAAAATATGACAGTGATAAGTAAATTAACTTCTTTGCTATGTCACGTGATGTGAGAGATCATGCATTTTTGGGTGGCCAAAAAATATTTTGACATTGCATTCATTTAGTTCTCATTTGTTTCGTGCGCGTTAAAGGCAGTTTATTATGATGTATGTATGTAGAACTCCAGCCTATAAATCTGTTAGCAGCTTTAGTATATTTTTTGTCAATTTTCCTAATTTCTGTACCGTTATTTAATGAAAATATGGGTAAAACACGGGAGCTAAGCCAAATCCAGCGAAACGAAATAGTAATTAAGTACCAAGCAGGTATTTCGGTCCAGAACCTCAGCATATTTTATTAAGTACCCCGACAACTATTTACTACCAAATTAACAAACATAAACTGAAATTTCGACGGATAATTTAGTCAGAAAAGAGCGACCACGCCAGACCACGCCTAGACAAGATCGTCTAATCCTTTCAAATTTTAAAGATAATGTCCTTATTATACCTAAAGCAGCTTCAATGGAAGTTCAAAACGATTATGATTTTTAAATTAGTAGAAAAACAGTTGAAAGAAGTCTTAAAAAGGCTAACTTTGATACTTATGTGGCCCGTCATTTCACCTAAAAATGAGTTGAAACGATTAGCCTTTGCCAAATAATGTTAAACATGCCTAAATCCTTTTGGGAACTAATTTTGTGGACCGATGAGAGTTCTTTTGAGTACCATGGTTCAAAAAATAAAATGTACTGCAGATTACCAAAAATATTCGCAAGAAAGTGGTACCTCTCATTCAACGTATACCACATGGTGGCGGCAGTGTCATGTTTTGGGGATGTTTCTGTTTTAACGGGATCGGTTATTTGGTCCCCATCAATGGGACGATGAATTTGCATATCCTGATTGACCACGAACTGCATACCGGCGACAGACTTAAGAGGGAAGACTTTATCATGCAGCAGGATATTGCTCTATGCCATAAAGCAAAAATGATAACAACGTTTTTCAGGGACTTGGAAGTAAAATCTTTAGATTGGCCACTCAAAAGTCCCGATCTTAACATCATAGAGAATGTATGGGCTTACATAAAAAGTTAGGGGAGTCCAAACTTAACAAGAACTTGAGAGGAGACAATTGATGAAGTCGAAGGACTATGGAATGAAATTTCCCTTGAAACGCTTCAAAAATTTAGTAAAATCTGCTCCAGCACGATTACAAAAGGTAGTAGATGTAATTTCTACTCATTATTAACATTTTTGGCAATTCTGATTAAATTTCTAACTAATTAGGTTATGTCAAAATACATTTGGCATCCCACTTTAATGAATTTGTATTTTTAGATTATAAGATGTAATTTTAAATGTAATATTTTTGTTGTTTTTTATTGTCTTATTACACTATTGTTATAAATAAATTTCATTTATATTTTTTGCATAAATAAATTAGAGTTTATAACACAAAATGCGAATTTTTATTTATGTCAAAATACTTACATATGTCCACAAACTAGTCGACGTTACTCCACTGTCATACTGCAATGAAGTGCTGTCTTAAAAAGATTTTTTCGTTTCTCAAATGAATCTTCTTTTTTTATACCCTTGCAGGGTATTATAATTTCAGTTAGAAGTTTGCAACGCAGTGAAGGAGACATTTCCGACCCTATAAAGTATATATATTCTTGATCAGCATCAAAGGCCGAGTCGATCTAGCCATGTCCGTCTGTCTGTTTCTATATAGAAATGCTCAATAAAATTGTAGAAATAATTAAATTATAACTTAGCTGTTTGACAATATATGTTCATCATTATTGAGACATGGCAATTTTTTATTTCAGATTTTTAATTTTATGAAAATCGGACGACTATATCTTTTAGCTGCCATAGGAACGATCGGAATATTAATTTTAACAACTTCAATATTTGTTGATTTTTAACTTATTTTCATCTACTCTGAGATATGAGCTTTTTTATTATTTCAGAATTTCGATTTTAATTTTATGAAAATCGGACGACTATATCATATAGCTACCATAGTGACGATGACAAGTTAAATGTATAGCTGCGAGTGTATAACTGTAACTGCCAAACTGTAAATATAATGTGTAATGAAACTTTGTTTTGTGTTTTTCAACATTTTAACTGTTTTTTATATTTGATATTTAAATCTAAAATATTGGTACTTTGGTTATAATACCAATACCAGTTGATTCGAAAGACCCATAAACATTAGATGTTCTTACAATCGTTTTTCGTTTCGATTTTTAATTAAAGTCAATTTCAAAAGAACCACGCTTCGAGTACAAAAAGCCAATATTTTTAAATCTAAATATTGTTTTTTATTTAATTAAATTACAATCTAAATTTAGAGGTGTAGACACTTTATACAACATGTTTCGAGTATTAACATATATATATCTGACATACGATATAGGAAGGGCTTTTAAATAAAAGTTAAAATATTTGTGGATGTAGCAGCTGAGATGTGGTAGAGCAGATGGCAGAGTTAGCAATTTAATTATGCCTCAAAAGTGTACACTGTGTTTTAAGGCTTACTTTGTAGAGAGTGTTTAAACTAAATACACAGGTACTTGAACGATTAAATGGTACAGACTAACCGATCATTATCCTGAATGAATGTTGTTCGTAGGGAAAGTCGCATCAGAAACGTTTTCATCATGCAAATAAAGTTATGTCTTGTCGACCCGTGCTTTTCATATAATCTCAATATCCTTGTAGATGAGGTGCGTCGTTTGCCCCAAAAAATTAATTTGAAGACCCTAAAGCTTACTAATCAAGTATTTTACATTTTATGCCGAATTCGAGCTATCTATATGTTTTACATCCGAATATAAGCTGTGCCACAACTACCCATTTTGAGGTGTGGAAATGAATATTCAACCAATATCCATTCCCTTAAAATTGACAATTTGCGCTCCTTTGTCATCCGAATCTCTCCCTCCATCGGTGTTCAGGCTATCTTAAAAACGCTTCAACAGCAGAGGTTTGTTTCTGTCAGCAAATGCTGTGTTTATCCATTTGATATCGGGCTTGGCAAAGCGCACAGTCTGGCCCTCGCCGCAGGAATTTTCGCCGGCGAAAATTCCCTTTAGGCGGACGTTGGAGCCGCTGCCGCAGGCGAGTGCACTGCCCACGTCAAACTGGCAGGCGTCGAACTTGGTGGCGCTGCACACGCTGCTGCCATCGGCATTACAGTCGCTGCGGCCCTGAGCCGACGTGTCTGTTACGTGCATAATGGCGCCTTCTTCATGGACTATTAAACGAGAAGTGTAAACTCTGAATTTGGGTCCGTTACGGATTCGGAGGTCTGACTTACTTGACAACGCCTGCTTGCCCCAGCCGGATGTGGCACACTGCTCCGATGGTTTGGGATCTTCGTCACTGATGCAGATGGGTTGTATGTGAGTGGCGAACTCCAAACGCTTCTCCAACCGGATGATGGCCAGGTCGTTGGCATTGGTTGTCGGATCATACGAGGGGTGAACGTCGATAGTCTTGGCGCCGGTCAGCTGGAAGGGCAGGGGCTCGTTGGTGCTTCCCAGCTCCCACTCGCCGGCCTTGATGCGGATGTCGTTAACTGGTAGGCTTTATGGTAATTCGGTTACACTCTTGCTTCTATATATAACGTCATAAATATTCACCCATTAACGCAGCTGGCAGAGGTTAGAACAAACTCATCACCAATGATGGCGCCGCCGCAGAGAAGCGTTTTACTGGATTCGCGCAGGATCATTGCCTGCCAAGGGATCTCAGCAAAGTTGGCGTCTAGGTCCTTGACTCCAGTTGGCTTTGTGCTGCAAAGCGCAAAGAAACAGGGTGGGTTATGATTCTGTTTAGCGAATTGCACATTCCTACCGCTTGTTTCTGGTGGCGCACACTCCTGCTAGGTTAACAGGCCAAGGATCCACGTAGTTGGGGTCGCGGCAGCACTTTCCAGGCGAACCATTCTCAGCCTGAAGGCAGTCGGTAAGCGGCACGCGGAAGGCTGCCTCCATGGGAGACAGTTCGACGGGAGTTTCGGAGAGCACTCCGATGGCGTTGCAGTAATTTTCAGAAGTACAAACCAGTGCGGAGGCACATTTAGCAAAGTGTTTGGGAACGTTGCCTGGCTGGGGGGTGGGGAAGATTTGAGGCGATAGCTGGTCCTCTCCGCGGTAGATGGGCTTCTCATTAGAGGGCTGGGGCACGCGATCGGGCTCATAGCGTGGAATCTCGTTGGCTGACACTGGAGGTAGGTATTCGTTGGTAGGGCGGCGCGTAGTGCTTGGACGCTGCTGCGGCTGGGTTGGCTGCGGACGATAGGCGGGCTGGGTTTGGGGTGGCAGCGACAAGGCGCGGGGAGTCGTAGGGGGCGGCTGGGGGACTGCACGCCGGGTGGTTTGGGGGACCTGGTAAATGGGGCGCCGTGTTGTCTGGGGAGGCGGCAGATACTCGTTGGTGGGTCGAGTGGTTGGCACCGTAGTTGAGGGCTGCGGACGGTAAGACGCTTGGGTGGTGCGCAGGGCGGGCACGGTGGGGTTCGTCGGCAGAGGGAAATTCTTTTCCGGCAGATTAAAGATGTAGCCGTCTTCGGTTAACGTGGTAGAGGGCATGCGGCAGCACACCTCAGGTGCGTAACAGCGGTTCGGCTGCAGAGAAAGGAGCAGAGAAAGGGGTGGAGTATAAGAGGAGAGTGCAAAGGCAGTGGATCGTAAAAATGTAATCAATACTAAGACATTGTACACTCCTAACTTCGCAGCATATACATATGTACCTAGGTACCTGTCTGGCAAGAAATCGTGCTGTGGTCTCTTTTCGGAGTCCATGAGCGAGCGCATCAAATTACTTCGAGGGACGGGGCCATTTGACTGGCAATGCGCTGCTACCTGGTCATTACGACGGCCAATGGTGGCTGTCAATGGTTTTTGCGCTTGGCATTAATTGCAACCGAGAAATGTGCAGTCTCATGGTGCAATACGACTCACAAGGCGGACTCTGTGAACTGTGTCCTAGCCCCGTCGCCGCTTTGCTGCCTCCAGTGCTGGCACAGACGCTTCAAAAGATGTGACTGTGCGGAGGCTGGCTTATGTTTACCAGCCGAGTCTAATGTTCATTGAAAAAGTCAACAATCGTGGGGGTGCTTCTTGCGGTTTCTGGCCATGGCTGCACTGCACCCACGGTCATGGTCGACCAAGTGACTGACTATTGAGTCATAAGGCTCTACGACTGTTTTTGGAAAACGTGTTTAATCATTTCTCTAGAACTGTGAATAGTTTGAATCTTTGTAACAGGAAATCGGTAAAATAATGGCAATTTAACAGTTATAAATATTTATTTATTTATTTATACTACACTGTACGCAGAAGTTGCAAACTTAAGCTATGGGATTTAATCGGCCATAGTGGCTGTGACTTTCGGCCAGATTATTTTATATGAGTGTATATATGTTCATAGATATATATATATATATGTATATTTAGATATATACATCCCAAAACAATACGCAAGAGTAATCTTGATAGCTATGAAATCATAATGACTGTGCTGGGTTTACACGTTCAGAATCATTTGCATATTTTTCAGTAGCGCTCAAGTATTACTCAAGTTCCGTTTGCCAAAACTGAGTGGCTGCCTGCTTACGCAATCACAGCGATAATCATCAGTACCAGCGCCCACAAAAGAATTAAATTAACCAAAAACTTCACCGACTTTTTGTAGTTGCCGAGTTGTTGCTGTGCTACTGCTTAGACTCTCTTATTCCCGCCAGTTGTACAATTTAACTTGAGTCTCTAGCTCAGAGTGGTCCCCTGTCGAGATGTCAACGGGACTCGGCCTTGGGCTTATAGTTTCTCGCAATTTGTATCTCATAATTCCGGGGGCTCAGCTGCCGTCGTGTTTAATGACAAATTAATGTGCTCATTTGTTAAAAATTAAGCGAGACAACCCTGGGCAAAAATGATCGTAGAACGGAATGATCAGTTAATGGAGTTATTTTAAATAAATACTCTTCAGCTGTGCCGCCTTTCTGAACGAACCCTCGCGCTGATTGACGAGCTGACATGGCCTAATATAAGGCCTTAACTGCAAAGTATTTGTCCTTCTAGTTCATTTTATTTTTTGAACGTTGTCATTAGGTATAGCTTGTGACCCTCTGGTATAATTTTCATCAATTAAACGTTAATCAAAGGTTATCTTAATGTAGACATCACTCGCTGAGGCCAACGGACGGCTTAAGCTTTATGTAATATATATTATCAATAAAGCTGGCCCAGAGAGAAAGCGGGATGGAGAACGGCATATAATTTTGATCAATGACAACCAGCTGAGGGAGCAGGCCCAGTCCCTGCACAACATCCCGCTTACACCTGCCCTGGCAGCCGGGCTTCGCCCGAACGGCGGTCACTCGGACTCGCCGCTGGTCATTGCATACCTTATGATCAATCATCTTACGCTAAGATAACAACATCGACAACAAAAATCACAAGCTACTTGTGTACCAGCGACAGCTAAAATATGTAATCACCAGAAACAACCAAGCGGGGAGACTCCAAAATGCTTTTAATAAATGTTGTTGTTGGCCATACAAGACGAGTTGTTCATTTTTGTTTTTGTAATGTTTCATAGATAGTCTGGCGCAATGTTTTAATAATGTTGCAATTACTTAAAGCACACAGTATGTATATATTTATAAAAAGTTTACTTCGAGCCTTTACCAAGTTCAGCGGAAGCCAGTGGCGGACTGGGAGGAAGAGGTTATTTCCACTCCTAAAATTTTGGAAAAAAACTACTATGTGTTTATAAAGAAGATATGTTGCAACTAATACATTACATATGTTCACAAGTCTGACCCTGATGGTGGCAGCTAGTAAAGAAATTTACCATTCGGATGACATATATACTCATGTATACTCTGTGTTGTGGCTTGGGGAAAAGGTCAAGCCACAACGCTATCTGAGGCGGTGGAATTTACGACACAAATGCTTCATAGCAAACATGAAATTATTTTTACGACTGCATTAATGCGCCACTAACACAACGCTACGTTGCGGAGCAGTGTTCGCTTCGATTTTTTCTGCCCACAATTTATACGCCTATAAACTGGTCAGTTTCTGACTTTGCCGTTGTGCGAGTGGTGTGGGCCAAGTAGAAACGAGTTGAGCCGCCAAGGAACTGAATAAGTTTTTAAGAGCCAATGTGGTCTCTGAGGTGCGAGTGCATGCAGGAGCTTAGACTTTTGTTTATGTCAATTGCGATTCAATTTATGCACAATCATTAGGGCCAGGGGTTTCAATTTAAGAATAAGTATTTACGACCAAACTAGATATGTATGTGGTAATGCAGAAACCGAAATACAAATAAATAATTACTAAAGCCAGGCCGACTAGGTGTCATCATTTGCTAGACCCATACGGCATTTATTTATAGCTACGCATAGTAGGGCAAACAAACAAAAAAGCTTAGTAGTAGCAAAACAAAATTAATTTAAAAATCTGTTAATACTTATACATATTTGTAAAATAGATTATAAAATAAGCAAGAATGGAAGCTTAGGAGGGAACTCTATGTTTTCATTAAATAATTGAAATTCGTTACTTAAGCAAAAAAAAAACTTTACAGGCGACATTAATTTTAACAAGAAAGAAAGAAACTTCGGATTAAACTGACATAGAAATTCCAGAATAAGGAAAAATGTATATTTTTCGCCGTGTATAAAAATATGTTAAATAAAATGAAAGTTATATATAGTATATATATGGTATATATAATCATCATGGCGGATTTGGAGACAACATTCATATCATAATCTATATCACCTTTTCTTTTATAAATATATGATTTTTTTTTTGATTTTTTTTTTTATAGGTTTATCTGTTTTTATAAAACTAAGCAATCTTTATGATTTTTTTTAATATGTCCTAGGATGATTGCTGTGTACGTGTTTACGAAATGCAGCTTCCCTAATCTAACTTCTCTCATTTCCTGTCAGTGTGCGCCGTGGTCTTTGACATTGTATTGTACAAATCGCTGTCGATTAACGACAGACGAAGAAAATAAACCTATAACAATAAAAACGATCATAAAATACGCATTAAGCAAAAGGAAACCAAACTAAGCGCATCTGCACATTGGGTCTTTATATGAATAAATGTTAAGCGCTGTCAACGACTTTCCGTCAGCGACTCGCGCCCCCTTACACTGGCCTCAGACTCGACCTAGACCTTGAATCCACGACTTGAGTGTCGTTGAGTGTTGAGGTGCTCGAGCTGGTCTGTTTACTCCGAGTGCTTTGTTTTCGTGCGTGCCTTATAGCTGTGCGTTATTACAGCTCTTGGCTGTCCACAAGGCGCTAAGACGAAAGACTGGTTCAAATGAAATATGTTTGCACTATAATTATAACATGGATATAATCATAGAGCTTCCAAATCCATTATGCTCGCGGAACTCTGGGAAGAAGACTGAATTTATTTTCCACAAATGTATTCTGTCGGTTATAAGCTCTAAAACTTCATTTTGTGATTTATATAAAACTTGAAAGATGTTCTATTTTGGGGAAAATATTAAGAAAGATTACCATATTGGAGGTTGGTCAAATAGCAATTTTGGAAAGAAAATGCGCCAGAAATGCTTTTAATATTCAGATAGCACAAAAATGTTTTGTATTCCGGGCAGTCATATTATTACTACAGTCAATTAAAGTATAAATAAAATTATTTTTTCTTATATTTCGTGTACACATGGCAATCAAATACTACTTGCAATTACAGTTGAAGACAAGTTTTTAAGAAAAATAATTTTTTGTGCATCTTTAAATATAAAAATTACTATTGAAATTAAGTTTTTGTTAAAAATCAATTCTATATTGAATTTGGCTAAATTTATTATATTCAGTACGGAAAATATGATATATAAATTTATGCTACGCATCAGACAGAATTAATTAAGAATTAAAACTTTCAAGTTCTTTAAGACAAAATAATGTTTGCAGCTGGAAAACTGATTATTAGTAAACAGATTGCTACCCTAGATCGGATTTTGAGGGCAATTGTGAGATGCATATGAGTGGCTTATTGGCCACTAGTTCGTGTGCTGAGCTCAGGTTTGCTCAAGTTCAATTGTCTGACTAGCCCAATAAGAGCAAGCAATCAAGGGGCCACGGTGCCTTCGCTTGAGGACAAGAGGCATCTGCTTCACCGCAGCCTGTTCGGCTACATATTTCACTTGATGTGCTTTTTTCAGGCGAGCGTTGCATGCATCAGCGGTGTACGCAACCGACCCGTTTTGCCGGCCGCTGCTTATGCAATTACACGGGCCCGCTGTAAATCTGAGATCTCTCTGCATTTTATTACCTCTCAGCTTCTCTCTTACTACTACTTACGTAGACTTGTACAGATTTTCATGCATATTTTTCCTTCGGTAGGCCCAATTTCACACTTTTCTGGGTCGCATGCGTGAGAGTAAGGCATTACTTTTAGGTTCAACCGCATTCCAGTTTGATTGGTGCCTGATGGCGTCAAGTTCGTTGCCGGTACCACCAGCCTGCTTCGAATTAATACCTCGCCCTGTGGCAATGTCATTCCAGTACGGGTCTCTGCTTCATTTGCCACTTGGAAAACAAGGCCCGAGCCTAGTCGCCACGCAAGCAAAACGAGATCATAACATTCCCAACAGCACCGAAAACTCGTCGTTCGTCTGAGACTCCCAGAGCACGGCCATTCGGCATTGTCGGAGAATCCCAAGTTAGAAATTAGAGCACCGATTAAAACAAATTGTGTGCTAATAAGCTGTCCGAGTTTCGATTGTCTTGGATTCAATCGGGGTTTCCCCATGCGCTTGTGAAACACGCTGTGATGTTGCGGTCGGGTCTTATTCCGATTCCGGCGAACCAAGCTGCATTAGCTGTGGTCGCTTTGTTTGCGGCACTGCTCTCGCAATTGGAACATCAAAGCGTTATTATGCAGACAATTTTGATGGTATTATGGTATGTAAGACGATTAACAGGGCGAACTCTGTGTACTAATGATGCCGAGTCTGTGCTCTGAGGGTCCCAACCAATGTGGTTGGATGCCATTTGGTTGGCTGTGAACTTACCCCTTGCTTTTTAACGTAGTTGATTGCACTAATTTCCCCGCGGCGGCAGTCCTCAGGGGCCACACAATCTGAGTCGCGTGGACAGGACGCAGGCGTCACTGGAGCTGGGGTCGTTGATGTTGTGGTCTCTTGTGCTCGATAGGTGCAGCATATGTCAGTTTCCGGCTCGCAGTTCTGCAAATGATGATAAGAGAGTGGCAAAGTTATTTCTTTACCTTAAGCGTTTGCCTTAAGGCCTAGCAGGCGACCCAAAATTGTATAGTTAGTCCCCCAGTTAGTGGTAGCTGGCCGATTCGGAAACAAATGCAGTCGCCACAAAGTCGCACCTCAGCGCCAATGGTTGTGATTTCTGTCGTCTTGGCCGAAAGGTCACCAATGGTCAGCCACTTGCACAAATGATGTGCTATAAAGTGTCCGGCAAGATGCCAGATGCCACCACCAGCGGCAGTGGTTAGCAATTATATTGCCAATGCTTTTGCATTTGCATTGAACTCTGTCGCAGTCGAATTGGCGGACCTTTGCTAAGATCTGGCTAATTTTTTTGTTCACACTGTCAAATACTATCTGTTGATCACCTGGCATTTAGCATGCGGACAATTACAAATTAATAACTTCGTCTGTCTGCGGCCAGAGATCAAAAGTCGAAACAGTAGCTGGAGGCGGAGTCGCCTTGACGATTTTGCAGTTCAATAATCGAATAAGCAGTTCTTCTTCAAGTACAGTTGCCACGAAATTGACATCACTCTACGGAAAAAGCGATTGGCTAACCAGTTCCCCAAACTGGCATTCCATATATCAATCAGCGTCTGAGTTTTACAAATTAAAGAGGCCAATTCCTCTTATTTATGTCTGCTTTTATGTCTCTCAGAACGAGAAAATCTGAAATCGGAAGCCCATTTGAATGTTTTTGAGATTGTTCTAAAGCACGACCTTGACTAATGAAGAGCTTCGGCCCGGCCTGAGACAAGCATGCTAAATGGGTACTAAATATCACGGATACATTTATCCAGCAATCATGTCGGCTTTGCATAGCGCAATACAAGCTCCAGCTGTCTTCTAAAGTGCTTCAATCTTGCTTTGGTGTCTAGGTTAATTTGAAACACATACATGTGAATATACGCATACGTGGCATTCAATTATGTTAATGTCTTGGGTATTAGAATTGGTTTGGTTGGATCTTTAAATCAAATGATTTCAGCGGCATTCGTCAGAGCCGGAGCTATGTATTGTGGGCATTTTGAAAGTGACTCACGGGTTGATAAACCTATCAGCAAGCGGAAAAATTCCCAGCAATAGCCACGCAAATTGAGCACCGGTTTTTAGCATCATCGGAATGGGAAAAGGAAATATTAAGTTTTTTGATTTGTTTGCGTTTTTTAATTGTTCAAGCGCGCGGTACTGGTATCGTACTTTGCATCCGTTTCGCTAATTATTCTCATGTACAATTATTCAGAGAGCTTCGAATATTTACTCAAGCTAGGCAAAAATTCGTTTGTCTGTATCTGTATCCCAAAATTGTCTCTATCTTTCGTATCTGTCGTATTTAATCAGACTCGCACAAGTCAATGAATACCTATATTAGATATATGTACATGGGTACTACGAAAATCCCTTTTACTCAAATTTCGTCTCAAGTTCGAGCTTCCATGTCCATAAATTTAGTTTAATATGTAATTAACTCACAATAAAATAATTCAACATTATACACGTTACGTTATTACAATTAAAATTAAAGTAATTGCCTATTACAAAATTCTGCGAAATTATTCCATTATTATTTTTATTATGTAGCAAAACTCTTTAATGTCTTTGACTGAGAGAAAAGAAGCAACGAAAAGACAAAACAAATGTTGTATATTTATACATATATGTAAGTATGTACTCACTATGCTTCTTAATGATTTTAAATTTCGTGACTAAGGGCAAAGCTTCTGTAGTTTTTATAAGAAAAGGAAAAAAATTACCATAACACTACGCATAATTTAAATGAAGATAAAGGACATGGTTTTAAGATAAAAATTGAAGAAGCGGCATTCATATAAAGTTTTTATATATTACAAATTTATTTCTATTCGAGCCACAATTTAAATGATTTGCTTCTGTAGGCTATACAAAAAATTCATTGTTTCTAAAAGTGTGTATAGGTGTAACGGTAATAATATAAACTAGATCGTTGATCTAAATGGTTTTTATTATGTGTGAGCTCGGCAGGTCCACTTTAAAAATATGCAAAACAGCGGCAACTTTTTTTTTACTTTACATTAATTTCTTTCGGACGCAAATGCGAGGGCAATTAAGCATGAACTTCGTTTTTTATTCGACTGGGTGGACTTACGAAATGCCCGACTGCTATGATCTGGCCAGCACGTACACATGTGTGTGGGCTGGTATTTCTTCGCTTTGATAATGACAAACCGGAAAATAACGGTAACTGTGCCAATCGCTCCAAAGGTAAAACCCAACAACGACAGCAACCAACAACAGACTGAAACTCCGACATCAATATATTTCGCGTTATCACCCCAGACGGGCTTTTAATTTTTTAATTTTAGACCTCTGTCGACGGGCCGAAACGGATCTAACCCAATGACGCTAATGGGGGACTGGAGACCGCTGCCAAACTTTTATCGTTCCGAGCAAGACCTAAACCAATATCCCATTATGCAGTAGACAATTGCATAATTTCACCAATTTCACCAAACTAAATGTACCACCGGAGTGGCAGTTCCTTACCTGGATCCTGGGCAGCTGCTGGCTGAAGAAGCCCTTCACGCACTGACTCTGGCGCACACACTGCTGGCCGGGACTGCACTTCAAATATTCCTTGGGCGGCAGGTACGTGGGCCCCTGGAAGGGCGAGGCTTGCCGACTGATAATGGCGTGGTTAAGGAAGACATTCGACGTGGGGTTGACGGAGTGATGCGTCTCCCTGTGCTCCTTCACACCGTTTTGGTACTGACCGTTCAGGAACATGTTGCCCTGGTAGTCTGCGTTGGCCAATTCCAGCACTGCTAAGGAAAATACTAGCACAAGTTGCTTCCGAAACCGCGACATGGTGGTTGCTTTGCGATTGCTCTTAAGTTAATGTTGGGAACCTGTTGAATGCACCAGATGACCAGACATAATTACAATAATTATAATGATCCTTTTATCCCTAAAAGCTATATCCGCCACATTTATAATTATAAATTATAATTAGTAACTTATTTTGGACTAAATGAGGAGTAAGTTTACAAATGAGCATTTTTAAACAAAAATATTCAGGGCACTTCTTTTGCGAGTTATCTAAGCGATCGGATCCGGATGTGCCTGAATGGCTGGATTATTTCGAGTCGGGCTGAGTCCCATGCTCGTTAATCGTCAACCTGATTGCAGAGGATGCCCCACAAGTGAGGGCTAATTTGCATGTGGCCATAAACAAACTCCTAACTGGAACGAATGTGTTCTTTCTCGAAGCCTGAGCTAAGAGGTAAGCCGTCTCAGCTTCATGCCGAAATACGGGATGCGTTCCAATGTGTGACTCAACGCTAAAAATAGTTGAATAGCCGCAATCCGCTCCAATCCATAGAAGAAATAAATTAATTTCTAAAAATATACATACATTTGTACGTTCGTATGTATGTAGGTGTATGGGGCTAAATTGCTGGTTTTTACCAAAAAAATTTGCATAAAATATTTTAGACTTCTTTGAGCCGTTTGAGTGACTATTAATTTTGTTTTGCGACTTAGAAATTTCTGCGAATTTCTACTTTCTATTTCAGGAGCTCAGAATTTATGAACCTTTATCACAAATGATATTTGGCCCGCGGCTATCATAAGCATTCATTGACACACAAATCAATGGTGTGTGGGACTTGGCAAGGAGAGTTTGTATCACTGTTTTATTAACCTTTGGTTGTTCTATGCAGCCGTTGCCGCTGTTGTTTTTGATTTTCACATAAATTCAACTTAAAATGTTTGTCTTTGCGCAATCGGCAGCATTGGAACGAAACACAGTACAGAAAACAAACCGAGACTGCAAAGTTCAGATTGCATCTCCTACAATAGGCATCCAGCATACTAAATACAATGCACAATGCAACCAGACCCATGTGAGATCCGAAACAGCTAGGGATACTGACATGGGGCGGGCTGGCTGACAGACGAATGGAGGCAGGGACTCGGAATACATTTAGCGGCGACAATTGCAACCGAATCAATGGAACTATCCATCAATCCATCAGCGGAAAATAAATTCAATTTACAACTACAATGCCACTGTGACTGCACGACTGTTGCCCAGTTGCCCAGTTGCTACACTGCCAACGTATCCTGTGGCATGCGTGTCCTTGTAGTTCTTTGGCTTTGCACTTGGTCACTGGCCGGTTGGTCGATGGGGAACTTCGGGCTCGAAGCAGTTCCATTTGGAAATCTGGGATATGACACCGCGAAAAATAACTAACACTGCCACCACCAGGAAAGTGTCTTACACTAAGAGAATCCGAGATATTTCAGAACCGAACTAACGCACGTACGAACAACTTGAATATGATTGTGAATATTTATCGAAGTTCGCCTGTTTTATATGTGCCCAGCAAAGCTGGCTAGCGAGGCGTCACCGCGGCAGCGGCGCATTCGCCAACGGTGGAGCAGCAACAATACAATCCGTTGGCAGCGGCTACGTCAGCATCAGAAACCTCGGCCGCCGAAGATGCGAGCGAGAAAATAAGTGGGACTGGCAACCGCGCAGTCAGCTCAGTTGACGCTGGCAGACGAGTCAACGCCAACGCCGAAGTCGGCGCCAAGTGGACGCCGATGCTGGTGCTGATGCTGGTGCTGATGCTGGTGCTGGTGCTGATGCGAGCGGTGGCTCTCGCATGCTCACTTTCGCTTCGGGTCTCGGAACTGTGTGAGAAGCGGATCTTGATCTTGGCGCGGGCGGGTTCACCTGCCTCGGCTGGTCTGACGAATCTTGGGCTCTCGCTTGGCATTCTTGACTCAACTTCGGCTTAATTTCGCATTTTTTTTGTCTTAAGCGTTTCAGGGGTTTTACATTTTTATTAGTGCTATTTTTGTCTGTTTCGGGCGTTCTTCCTAATGGATTGATGGAAGTTGGCTAGCTTTGAAATTGGATTTTAATTTAGCAAGAATGGCTGAAATTTCCGGATCCAGTTGCGAAAAATGTATAACAAACTAATTCAAGGGCCAAATCTCTAAGTGAGAAACTTTATATTGGTAATCCGTGCTACATTCTACAAGCTACTGCTTGACTTTGCTGGTTTGTGTTTGATATGACCAATATACATATATACCAGACAAGTATCAGATATAAAGAGTCTGCTAATGAAAAAGAATAAATTAAAAACAATTTTATATGGGGTGTATTACTCAGAGAGATGGTAATAATCAGTTATCTATAATATGTACTGTAAAAAACAGATTTTGGCAAACAAGAAAAAGATTTCATTTGGGAAAGGCCGCCAAAATCTTGTTCTTTAAGTATCTTTTGAACTAAAATTCGGATTGTGATGATTGATGTATTATAAAAAGCATTTCAGAGCCAGAATATAACCGCGCGTCAGAAACATAGGATTTTGCAAACCTGGCCATATTAATTTTGAAAAAATCTAATTCTTACTTTTTCTGAACAAAAATATTTTTCTGAAGGTCAAGTATTCCATAGGACAATCGCAAGCTGATTCTGGGTGTACATATTAATGCTAGGCAAAATCGATATCAATATCGAGTCTTTCTATTATGGTCGATTCATCGATTCGTTTTTTAAAACAATCTATGAACCTAAAACTGTAAATAAGCTAGTTTGTGGCAGCCAATACACGTGGTTAATAGAATTTAGATTTATTTTTTCGTTTTACATAAACAAAAAAAAAACGAACGTACGTTCGTACGCTTTAAGTGCAAAAAAAAATATAAAAAAAATGTTTTCCGAAACTTTTTTTTTGCCATTCGATAGTATTTTGTTAGCTCTTTGCTTAGTGTAAATGATGGGCTTCGTTGAGTTTTCATTTTCATAATATTGCCAAAAAACATGCGGTCGCGAACGTACGAAAAATGGAAGTCGACTTTGGCTTAATCTAGTAAAATGAAGAAATCTGCGAATTGGGACGGAATATTCTAAAGCAATAACTTTACTTTTAAAATAGAATCATGTAGCTTTCTATTGAGTCCTTTCCCAAAGAAATATCTCCATTGGTTTTTTTTAAATTGAATTAAGTACCGGTCGCGAACATACGGGTCGCGAACGTACGATTTTTCCAACATAGAAAAAAAAAATAAAATTTAGTTAAACCTTTTTTTTATTTAAGGAAATATGAAGTTATTCATAAAAATTTAGTGCTAAACAAAAAATAAGCAACATGCTGTATTTGTTTAATTTTTTTTTAAATACTACTTTTTTATGAATATCTTCATATTTCTTTAAGGGGGTCTTCTCATTGGGCAACTTTTTTTTTTCGATTTTTTTTTTTGCATTTATTTATAGCTTGGGATGGTGTGTATATGTCCCCAAAAGGATTTTTAGAAATTCGAAATTCTTTTTTGTGAAGCAAGTTCTTCGCAAAATGAGCTTTTTTCAAACTTCAAACGCGTTTATCTCGAAACCACGTTTTTCGAACTGGCGGCCATGATATCTCCAGTTCAACTGAACCGATTTTCATGAAACAAAGTGAAATCGACGCAGTATTGTCACCATTTTCGGCTGACGGAACAGATTAAAAAAAAAAATTTTTTTCTATTTTTTTTTTTTTTTAAATTTTTTTCTATTTTTTTTTTACACTAAACTACAAAAAAAACGTCCGAAATCGATTTTTTTTTTGAATGGCCGCCATTTTGTTTTAAAAATTTAAAAAAAAATCTGTTCCGTCAGCCGAAAATGACATCTATTCTGATTATAACCCCGTTCTTATTTTTCATTTCGGACGCTCTGGAGACCCTGAATCGTGGCCGCCAGGACGACACCTTTTTTATCGACCACCAAGTTTGAAGTCTCATTACTCTTAGAACAACCCTCGTATCGAGGCAAGAACAACTTTTTTAGTTACTTTGAACATTTTTGAATACAATAAATAAAAAAAGTTTTCAATTATTCTTTGCGTTTTCAAATAAGAATTTTTTTAAAAAGGGTCCAAAAAACGGCTTTTGAATGAGAAGACCCCCTTAAATAAATAATGGGCTGTCTAAACTGTGTTTAATTTACACATTTTTACTTTTGTCCTTTATCTTAGCCATCTAAACATATTTATATGCTTGTTAAACAAAAAAAAAATATAAAAGTTAAAAAAAAAATACTCACGGTCGCGAACGTACGCTACTTTGAAAATCAATATAAAATCAATGGTTAGTAGTAACTAAGAAGTTTTTATATATTTCAAATAGTACTACCGAAATGACTTTAGACAAGAGGTTTTATCTACCTGCTTGCACTTATCGCAAAGCAATGACAAAAACATGATGTTTTGGGTCGCGAACGTACGATTTAAACATAGATAAGAAGTAAACTTAAAATTAACAGTTAATTGAACAATATTTCGCTCTCTTTTGAATTTTTCTATTCTTATTAGATTGTAATAAAGAGATTTGGTAGAAAAAGTTCCAACATAACATACGTTTTCCTTGCGAAATAAATTAAAATAAACATGCCTTTAAAAGTAGTAAGAAGTGAAAAAAAAACATTTTTTCACTTTTCAGGCTAATTTCTTCCAGAAAACAACTGAGATATGATATGGATCCATTGTATTATGAAAATTTGGACATTTCTTTATGACAATACACCGAAAGAAACCAGGATTACGAAGATTTTTTTTTCGGCCGTGGTTTACCTTTTGGCGGATATGCCCATATATGATTAAGATTATCGAATCTTAATTTTCTTTATCTTATTCTTAGGCATTTATTTCGTTTATTTTTATTGAAATTCTTTATTTTCTAAAAGATCGAAAAAATTAATGCATTGAGAACCGATTTTTTTTCCATTTCTCGTACATATTATGTACATCTAGCATTGTTAATTTTTTGGCGACTAAAATTACAATAATTATACAATACTCGTTGAAAACGAAAAATGGTCCTTGGTTTTTCGAAATCGTAAGACTTTTTCGATTTGTAAAACGTGCACCTTTGTCTGGCCGGAATGAAAAGAAAATGGCTTTTTTTATATGCAATCAGACCAATCAGATATTTATTTGAAGAAAACAAAAAAAGGAAGCTCACTTAAGTACACCGAAGTTTGTATACCCTTGCAGTTTGCAATTGAATCATTAAGAACCGAGCCATTCTGGTCAAATCAATTAACAGTATAAAAGGAAATATATAAAAGTTGTATATTTATACATAGCACATAGTAATATGGCTTTGATCAAATTAAAGAAAAAGTTTATTCGTATAAAAAAATATATAGTTTTGATTTAAATATCTAATATAATAAACATTATAAATTGAAATGATGGAAAACACACATAACAAAGTTTCATTACATTTTACATATACTTAATATGTTTACAGTTTGACAGTTACAGTTTTACATTCCCAGCTTTACATTTTCTTTACATCTATATATCGTTTCTATGGCAGCTATATGATATAGTTGTCCGATTTTCATAAAATATATACCAAAATAAAAATAATAAAAAAAAAGCATATATCAGAGTAGATAAAAATAAGTGGAAAAATAACGAAGTAATAATTTTGTTCTAACATATATAACAGTGGGAGCATCCAGAAGGCTATATGCTAAGTTTTATTCAGATAGCTTTAAAACTGAGGGACAAGTTTGCATAGAAACAGACAAACGGACATGGCTAGATCGTCTCGGCTGTTGATGCTGATCAAGAATATATACTTTATAGGGTCGGAAAGGTCTCCTTCCTTTATATTTGATTAATTAAGTAAGATATTAAATCCATCATACACTTAAGACACATACCCGTTGTCTTCTGAACTTGACAGAGGGTAAAAATATATTTTCAGTGACTTTGAAAGAGGTAAATTAATAACTTATTTTACCCTTGCAGGGTATTACGACTATACTTTATAGCTGCCATAGGAACGATCTGTAGATATAGAGAAACTGTAAAGATGGGAATGTAAAACTGTAACTATCAAACTGTAAGCATACGTATAAATAAGATGTAATGAAACCCTGTTTTGTTTGTGTATTCAGCATTTAAATTAATAATATAAATATCAAAACCAAATTATTATATGCCTTGTATATATATTTCCTTTTATTTATTTTTTTTTTGTCATTTTAACAGAATGGCTCAATTCTTAATGATCCAATTGCAATCTGCAAGGGTATACAAGCTTCGGTGTGCCGAAGTTTTTAACATATTGGTTTTAAACATATTGGAAGACTATATCATATAGGTGCTAAAGAAACAATCGGTACATATTTTCATCTACTTCGATGTTTTGAATTATTTTTGAAATGTTATCAAAACCAAATTATTATGTGATATGTATAACTTTTATATATTTCCTTTTTTCTATTTATTTGATCAGAATGGGTCGGTTCTTAATGATCCAGTTGCAA